CCTATTGACTTTCGTTTTTTAACTCAGTTCTAAACTCTAATATAGTAAAACCAATCCAGTTAGCCAAATGCACAATATCAATCTATTGCCCACATAAATTATATATATACCAAAATAGTAACAAGTTGTGAAGTTTGACTAAGACTATCAAATTGAAACTATATAATAACCAAATTTATGCATAACATAATCAGAATAATCAGTTCTAGAGCTCCTTGGAAGCAATCTGAAAATTGCAGAAGAAAAAGAAGAGAAGAAACCTTCTGTTTAACTCCAAGTGGAGAAGCAGAGATGTAGGAGACAGTCCAATCGAAGAAGATGTAGGGATCACCTGCGAGAGCGGTTCTTTTGAGGCATAAGACAAGAAAGGCAGCGAGGGGAAGTAAAAAGTGGAAGAAGCGAAGGCATGGCGGCATTGGGATTGAGAGCTCCTCTGGAAGATGGGAAGAAAGGCGCAGGGCGATGATCCAATGGCGATGGAAGAAGGAAGAACTGACAAATGCAGAGCGAGTGAATCATTTTCACATGGGGATTTGAGAAAGGAGGAGAGCACTGCGCGGGATGCCGACAGAGTTGCCAATTGGTTGATGGGTCCCAACCGCGTTGAAAAAGCTATCCACATTCTAAAGATTCACTCCTCTCAATTATTTTAATATATTTATTTTAAATGTGACTAAAGGCTCGATTATAAGTTGACATTATCCACTGACATCTAAATTTTTCATGACTGACTAGTTCATTGGGTTTGTCGTTGTCCCACTCCCACAAAAGTGGGAATATGACAAGTGGAAATTATTATTTATATATATTATTTTAAAAAATAGTGTTTATTTAAGATACATGTTACTTTAATAATTAAAATCTACCGGTCACAGAAGGTAACTCTATTTTCTGGTTGGTTAGGTTAACCCGATCAAAAAAGTGTTAACCCATGAACCCGATCAAAAATATTCAATTTTACATAAATGCAACCAAGCTCAAACTGGAAAAAAAGAAATTAACCCAATCCCCCCAACTTTTAGCTTGGGTCGGGTAGTTCAAGTTGGTTGGGTTTTCCGATCATACTCATCATTCAAAATTACAAATTTAACCCCTAAATTTTTTTATTTTTAAAGTATATAAATATCGTAACAACAATATTAAATTTATATTATTAGTTATAATGAATTATTAAGAGAGACTGTAATTAGTCTATTACTAGTAAAACATTAAAAAAAACGAGATCTCCTATATTTTCAAAATCAAATAAGAACAGCTCGTTTTAACTTAATTTCGAGAATTTTATATTTAGGTAGTTTACGGACAAAAAAATTAAAAAATAAAACCTTTTTTAAAGTTAAAATTCAAACATTTGACCTTTTGACCGAGACTATATGTTTTAGGTCAGGTATGTTCGTGATGCTCGTGTGACAATTTAATAATACAAAAAATTATTTGATGTGGGGGCATGGCTCCATTATATGCGTTGATAGAGGGTTGCGGCGTCAAAAGCCAATCTTTGATTCTTTTTTGTAAAGAAGGAAACAGCTAATCATTTTGGACCAAATGGATGACAAATCATCGAATCACTCATCTCAGATAATAATTTCATTATGAATTTTTTTATTTAATAAATATTTAAATTTTATATTTTATATTTAATAGATTCTTCGTTCCATATTTTTTAAAATTTACTGATTTATTAGACAGGAGACTGAAAATTTCGAATTCCATTAAACATAAAATTCGATTTATTTCTAATATATCACTTAATTTCTTAATTTTGGAATGTGTGAGGAGCCTATTTTATTTAAAATAATTGAAAGACAACACAAATTTTAAATAATAAAAAAAAATAAATAATGTAGTCAAAATTGCATTTGGGCTAAATCAGAAGGCCCAATTACTGGTCCCCCAAAACTATGGACCACGCAGGCCCAGCCCAGCCCAAATTCTAGCACGTGAGCTTTAGTCTTTTTTTTTTTTTTTTTTTTTTTTTTTTTTTTTTTTTTTTTTTT